CCTGGTCTCAGGGAGCACCACAGGGTGACAGGGAGTGCCCGGCCGCAGGAGACCCCAAAACCCACCTCTGCAGGGTCAGTCTGCCTTGCTGTCTCCACCACTGCCTCTCTGGAGTCAGAGGACTCTGGACCCAGTGCCAGCCTTGGCCTGGAGCCTGCAGGAGGAGAGCTTTTAGAGGGACAAGCACATCCCCTCACCATCAGAGGGCCGGGCAGAGCATGCAGCCCCAGCAGCGACAGTCCCCACCCTGACATGGCTGCCAGGAGAGCTGTCCACAGCCTCAGCTTGGCCCAGGTTTGGGTCACAGGCAGAAACATGCACAGTATCCTCAGCCCCACTGGTCCCCTGGGCAGCCTAGCACCTACCTGAGGCACTCTGAGCTTGTGCAGGGACAAATTCTCCACCGATGGCCCCACAGGGGACATTACCAGGTGTTGGGACGGTCTCCTTGTCTTTCCCTTCCACCTCAGCCTCCATGTTTGGGAACTTGAAGGCCACATGCATCATGCTGGGTACAGGATGCACCGAGCAGCGCCAGGATCTCCCCCAGCCTGGGGCCAGGGCTGTGGGCACGGTGCCAGGCTCTGAGCCCTGGCAGTGGTGGGGCATCATGGGCATCAGGCCGTAGCGGGTCCCTACTGGCACCGGCTCCTCCTGGATGTGCTGGTAGCTGGAGGAGCCCAGGGGCAGACAGACAGAGCATCCCATCAGGTCAGCGTGAGACCTCTTGGCTCCCAGCCCATCCTCGTGGCATCAGGTCCCTCCTCGCTGTCCCTTACCTGCACTGCTCTCCATAGCTGCAAAATCCACTCTGGAAGTACCTGCAGATCTGGGCTGATTTTCTGTCGTGTGAGAAGCGGCAGCTCTGGCCCCATCGACAGGATCCACGGGCAAAATTCCTTTTGGCCAGAGGAGCCAAATGGCCAGGGTGAGACTCCACTCCAGCCCTGCTCCACTGACCACCCTGACATTCTCCTGGGTACCAGCTTTGCCACAGTGGGGCCATATTTTGGAAGCCCCCAGCTGGTGCTGGGCTCAAGAGCCCTCACCAAGGGCAGAGCCCGGCAGGGAGCCAAGCTGGAGTGTTGCCAGGGACCTCTGGCTCCAGAGGTGAGGCGCTCGGATGGGGAAATGGGTTGAGGAGGTGAAGGCCCCAGTCCTGATCCACTCTACCCACAGCAAGGGGCTCATGGCCCCATCTCCAGCCCATCTCCCCCAAAGGTTGCTGCCAGCCCGCCCACTCCAAAGCCTTTACCTGCAGAGGGGTCTCAGGCAGGCCCCCCGGGCCCTTAACGCCCCCGACGCCACCACTGAGCCCGGCTCCATCTCCTCCCCAGCAGCCAAGAGGGCTGGGCCACTTCCCAGGGCTATTTATTGCCTCAGATGTGTCCTGGGCCTGGCTGGGATCGTTCCGTCCTAGTCGCTGGGGCCGTGCTGTGTTTGGGGCGGAGGATGAGCCCAGGCCGATAACACTCGGTTTGTGAGCGCTGTTTACACCAGGTCAAGGACTTTCCAGCTCCTCATGATCCCGCAGCAAGAAGCCTGTCTGGGGGCACCACTCCAGCGTGCGTGCATCGCTGATTTTGTACGTTCTAATTCTTTTGTCATTAACTATTTCCCCTTCCTTTTCAATCCTATTAAACTGTCCTTTTCTCAACCTATGAATTTCACTTTTTTCCCAGTTTTCTCTCCCCTCCCCCTGGACTAAACCACACAGGATGCCTAGCCAGGCGCCCTGGGTCACCCGTTCAGCAGCACTGCAGCTCCCTGCGCCCTGGCTGCATGGCAGAGGTGAGGGGCAACGGAACAGCTTCCCCCAGAGGTCCTCAAACCGGGGAGAGGGAAGCCTGGGGGTCTGCAGCTGCCCCTGCAAACTCTTGGGTGTTCAGACACGGCTGGGGCAGAGCCCAGTGCCAGCACATGGCCTGTCGGCCCTGGATCCTGTCCTTGCCCATCCTGGGTGGTTTTGGCTGGGCGCAGCTCTTCGTGCAGCTCCACCCACAGTACTGAGGCAGGAAGCACCCCGCTACAAGGCTGGGACCCTGCTCAGGGCTGGCTCTTGCTGCTGCCTTTAGGTTTGCAGGAAAACCACAGCAGCTACAAGATTCGGGAATTGTGGAGACCCTGGGAATCGTGACAAATCCCTGGAAATTGCTGCAAATCCAGCAAATCCCATCGCCTCTGCTGGAAACCCTCCCACAGGCAGCCCCCCAGGTCCCGGAGAATTCCCACAAAGACAGGCTGGATGCTAAAAGCTGCTTAAATATTTAGTTCAGATTTATTTAAAGTCAAGTCAGTTTGTGGACACTATTTATATTATTAAAAACACTTGGATGTTTGTACTTCTAGCAAAAATATACATTTCAGTTTGAGGGTTGTTACACTGTTGAGGAAGGAAGAGCAAAAAGTTTCCCAGGTGCTGGGCACGAGTCCTGCATGTGGCTGCAGTGGGGATGCCTCTGGAGCTTTGGGAAGGGCAAATCCCCCTGGCTCCGTACAGCACACGCACATCTCCAGTGCCTTCCCCGAGAGGGCTTCAAAGTGCTTCAGAAACGGTAACTCCTAACATTCCTGCGAAGTGGGGAGGGGAGGGGCTGGGTGGGGAAACTGGGGCGAGGTGAGGAGCTGGAGTGTGGCTGCAAGGGCAGGTTTGGGACCAGCCAGCCCTGTGATGGGGTGGGGAATCCCAGTGCTCTTCCCCTCTGCATTTTAAAGGAATTATTGCACCAGGGAAATCTGCTACCCTGAAGAGGAGGAAAGTAAATAAAACCGACTAATTTGCTCCCACAACCCCTCCTTGGGAATATCAGCATTTTAATAAGGCTGCTCAGGACACATGGGATCACAAGCTGCAGACAGGCAAGAGCCACTTCTTAGGCCAGACACCATAATCCCAAGAGGGGCACTGAGCCCTTCCCAGGTCTGTTCTCTCCCCCCAAGCCCAGGTGACACAGCCCCCACTGCGGGGGGGGCAGCGCCGTGGCGTTTCACTACGGCTGTGAGAAGTTGTGAGGTAAAGTCCCAGGATGGGGCTGGGTTTAGGGAGACCCCAAAGCCTGGAGCTGTCCCCACTCTTGGGATGGTGGCACAGGACTGGTCAGCTTCCCTGACCCATCTGTGCTTGCCAAGAAGCTCCTGCCCATTGTGAGCATCCTACCTGCTCCCTTCTCATTCATAAATCCTTGGCATTTATACTGGGATTTACAGCTGCAAAGCTCTTTGCAACCAATGCACCCACAGGTCCTCGTGCTCCCTCTCCGAGCAGAGAGCAGGGGAGAACCCAGCTGCCTTTCACAAAGGGGAAACTGAGGCAGGACACCAAACCCTGACCAGCCCAAGCCCCCAACCCTGCACAGACCTTTTTGGTAACTCACATCTGTGCAGAAGAGCCTGTGGAAGCACGCTGATTCTGGCCTCTGCTCTGAAGGTGAACTTATTCATAAGTCAAATCTTTTCCCCCACACCTCCCCATTCCCCTCTCTCTCATACTGAGGTACTGAGGGACATGTTCCCTCTGGAACGGGGATGCCAGGAGCACAGGCTCCCACACAGCCCTCGGGAAGGCAGAGCTCACACAGTCCCTCTGGGAGACAGGAACACACCGTGCAGCATGGGGGGCTGCAGCTGAGGGTCTCTGCTAGGACAGCCCTTACCCATCTTTAAACGCTCCGGCTTTTCTTTGGGAAGGAGAAACATCATACGGTCCCAGACTACACAGCTCAGGACTACATCTTTGGAGTGCAAACAAACGGAGATACAGACATGCTGCAGGTGCTGCTGCTGGCCCTGCCGGAGCCCTGCGCCGTGCCCGCGTCTCCGGATGCCCAGGGGCACCTGAGGCGCTGAGCCCTGCAAACTGTGCGGCCGTGCCCGAGGCCCCGGGAGCGGTGGAGCTGGGCCACAGTAACAGAAACCGCAGCTCTGTGGATTTGTTAGTGTGTGTTAATGGAAGCCCTGGCCGAGCAGGAGGCAGCTGCAAATCCTGACGGCGTCTTGCCCCCTGTACCGTATGACGGGGTCATGTAGAAAAGAGCTTCCAGTAGAAGAAATGGAAGACATTGGGAAGGGTTTTCTTTGTTTCTGTACAAAGAGTCTTGATGGGAATCCATGGCTTCATTCTCATAAATAACAAGTCCTTAATACATGTCCTTGTAAATCTCCTGCAGAAGTGGGTGCAGAGACGTCTCTGTCTCTGTTTTCTTGATCTTCTGCACCAGCTGGGCGTGCTCTGTCACCAGCTGCCGCAGGTCAGCCATCTTCTGCAGCAGCTTGGGGAAGAGGTACTGCGCATCCGGGTGGTTGGACTGCAGGTGAAACTCCAGCGCTCGCAGGATGTTGTCTTGGATCTCCTCCACCTGCTTCACATTCATCAGGCCAGGACGGTCTGTGGAGAGCAAGCACGGTAGCTGCAGGGTCACGGTGCAGCCTGCCAAAGCATATACTCCTCCTGGGGAAAAGGGAGCTGGGGACTGTAACCCACCCACTGTGGCTCCAACCTCGTCAGCTAGAAGGGCGAGAAGCGTGCCCTTGGACAACGTATCCCACAGCAGCAGACGAGGAGATGCCACTTCTACACTCCTTGCTCTTGGTCCAAGCTTGCCAGGCATCACCACCACAGAGAAACTTTGGTTTGGGAAGTGCTCAGTTCTTCTCTCGTGCCCCTGACACCCCGGCTGACCTCAGGGCCAGCTGCAGCTCAGCTCTCCCAGCCCCCTCTCTCTAAGTAGGGAGGACTCTTCCTGACCCTGGCACGGCCGAGGGCACCCGCTCACCTCCGCACAGGATGATGGCAGCCGGGACAGGTCACTGTCGTCCAGCTCCAGCGCGTTGAACTTCACAGCGAACTCAAATTTGGGCTCCATGATCTCGCTGAAGGGCTTGCGCAGGCTACGCAGGAACTCGCGGGTCACAAAGCCATTGCCATTGGCCACCAGCAGCCCATCCTTGTTCATGATGGAGGCCAGCATGGCGAAGATGGCCTCATGCACCCCGTACTTGAGCAGAGTCACTTGGTCATTCAAGTAGAGGCCTATGAAGCTGGGGATGCTCTTGGCGAACTCGGTGAGCTCCCGCACAGTCTCCACTGTGGTGCACTGGCAGCGGTAGAAGACGTGCACCCCGATCTCCTTGTAGGGGGGAATGCCATTCACCAGCTGCTTCCACACCAGCCCCTTCTCTGCCTGCCACAAGGTGTCCATGTCATGGATCACAAAAGGCTGCTTGGACAAGAAGCAAGTTAGGAGTTTTCTGCGGGGACTCGAGGTCCCAGCTCTGCCCAGGACACTTGCATTTGTCTGTAGGTCCCTGTGCTGCTCCCTGAGCTGACAGTCTCCAGGCAATCTGCACCCACCCACCACAGCACAGGTCTGCAGAGCACCGGGACTTTTCCCAGCGAGGGGCAGGACATGCAGAGCCCACCTGGCCGAGGTGGCAACCGGTGCATGTGACACAGGTACAGCAGGAGGGAGATGTGCAGCATCTCCCAGAGAACAGCCCCCCGTGCTGGCCATGGCCGACCCCACCTGCCCTGGGGAGGGAACTTACTGGGGTGCTGCTGGCCTTCCCGGTCAGGATACCTCTCGCTTTCTTTTTGGTCATGTTGAAATTCTTCAAGTAGGCATTGTAGATGTGCTTGGAGAAAGCTTTCAGGTCGGCCACCTGTGGGTTCTGGCAGCCGACCTCGCCTGCCGTCAGCCCTGCCACCAGCTTTCTCTTCTCTGCCTCTGGCATGCGCCCAAAGCGGATTGCTGTGGGGGCAAAACCGGTGGGTCGGGACAGTGAGGTGACCCCAGGAGACATGTCTGGGGCTGTAGTTTGCTCGTCCACCACAGACAGACAGGTCTGCTGATGAACAGCTGCAGCTACACGCAACACAATGCTTCCCCAGGCTGCAGCTGCTCCAGCACTGACACCTTCATGAGCCAGCCATTGCTGCTTCCCTCACACCACACTCCCATCCCACTCCTCTGGGCTCTCGCACAAATGCTGCTTCCTATATAAACACCTTTGCTTGGCCTGGGCTGAGATGGCTACACCTGAAGTTTAAAAATCCTGGCACAGCAGAGCCATCTGCATGTCCAGTTCCCTGTGGGCCAATGCATAAGGGACAGCCACGTGCTGGCAGCAGTTCTGCACTGTGGGAAAGAACAGCCCCTTCTCATACAGAAGAAAGGAGATGAAGAGTCAAAGGCTTGAAGCACTGGACTTGAACAATCCCCTAGCAAGGGCTAAAGCGACGCAGTGCCCTTCACAGAAGGGCAGCCAGCCCCATGCCACCTGGCCAGCCAGGCCTGTGGGCAGCAGTGATACTCACCGTTGTGTGACATGCCCAGCGAGAGGCATTTCTGGAAGCGGCAGTACTGGCACTTGTTTCGGTTCTTCTTCTGAATCTTGCAGCTCCTCTCACACTTCTCATACTCCAGCTTCATGCGGATCGTCCGGCGAAAGAAACCCTACAGGCAGGGAGCAGGGGGACATGGACCAGCAGTGTTAGTGCCTGTGGTTTGGGACCAGGCTGGTTGTTAGCACCGGGAGCCTCAGGGAGGTTCAGGCAGGTGAGGAGGAGTCTGGGTCTCTCTGATGCAAGCAGTCTCTGTCCCAAGGAGAGGGTGTGTGGTGGGAGGAGGGGGCTGCAGAGGAGGAAGTGTGGAGGACAGCCTGCAGCCTGGTGCTGTGTGACAGGGCCAGCAGCCAGCAGGGAGGGATGGAGGAACAAGCTGTGGGCCAACCCCAGCCTGCAGGAATGTCTAGCAGGACACGGGCTGATAACACAGCCCTGCTGGATCTGCTGCGGGAAGAATTCCAGAGGCACATCCAAGCTGCAGCCAGCAATCCCAGGGGGATAAACAGCTCACTGCTGATCTGCAGCACAGAAACCATCTTTAAAAACAATGTTATGTTCCCCTTGGGGGCAGATGGATTTACCTTACAACATAAAGCACAATGGGCAGTATTTGGGCTACACACGTCTCAGCCGCCTCTCCAGGACAGCACTCGCTGCCTCCCTGTACTCGCCACACTCTGGGCAGGTTCAAATGAGCTTTTTATAATCACTCAGCCCTGCAGCCCACTCTGCTGCAAACCTGCTTGTTTGAGGAGGCAGCACAGTCCCTGGGATCTAACCCCTTCTCGGCACAGCTGCCCCCGGTTCCCCCGCGTACGCACCTTGCAGCCCTCGCAGGCGTGCACGCCGTAGTGAAACCCCGAGGCCTTGTCCCCGCAGACCCTGCACTCCACGTTCAGCGCTCCCAAAGCTGCCTCCTCGCAGCCCATCTGCAGCTGGTCCGACAGCGAGGGCGAGGAGCTCTGCGACAGGTCTGCAAACACACACAGGGACGTGTCCTTCCGTGCCACAGCCGCAGGCCCAGCAGCGTGGCAGCTCCTCCAGCCGTGCGGCCGCGGAGGGACTTCCAGCCCTGCCCTGCCTGCCCCTGGCGTGGGATCTGGACAGTTACCGGGGAACCTGGCACTGGCTGCAGGCAGATGCCGTGCACAGAGGCAAGAGTGCTCCCAGCAGCTGAGACTCCACATCAATGCTCATTTCTTCCCTCTGGCATTCATGTCCAGGCAATGAAGCCCAAACAGCAAATTTTATAATCCCTGGCTGGCTGGCACCTGGCACAGGGCTGCCCAGCTGGAACACTCAGGGCTTTGGAGGAGCCTCTTCAGCAGCCACAAACCTTCTCTTCCAGCTCCTACAATCGCTTTGCACCGAGGACTTCAAGAGGTGTCCAGGGAAGCATTCCCAAGCACCCTGGGAGGCCTCTTGCTCTGAAGAATGTTACCTGCCTGTCCTTTTAATTTCCACCCCACAACCCATTGCCAATGGCTGTGCAGTGACCGCACAGGAAGAAATAAGCCTCTTCATAACTTGGCTCTCGGTGCATTATTTCACAAAGGGAAGAGATTAAAACAGGCTGGACTCCATTCACAGACAGGTCCTCTGTCCTTGCAGCTGAGCACACTGCCTGGGGGCCATGGATGCCTGGATGCTCTGGGGGTAGACGAGCTCCCTTGGCTTCACTCACCTGTGTAGCTGCTTGAAGGCAGCGAGCTGTCTGGTCCTCCAGTTGGGTCCGAGGCTCCGCTTGCCACCATCACTGCCTCTTCCTCTTCCTCTTCCTTGACCTCAGGTACTTCCTCCTGTAGTTGTTCCATAATTGATCACCCCTCAGTGCCAAGACTGCAATCCCTGTCATAGCTCTGGCATCATCCGTGTCTATCCGAGATGGACCCCACCAGGCTGTTCCTGCTAGCCTGCAGGACACAGGAGAGAGGTCAGGGTCAGTGCTGAGCACCCGTAGGGAGCACGCAGAGCCCCGGTCCATGCAAAGATCCCTTTGCGCTCTGGAATAAACATTCTGGAAGACTCAAGGAAGCAAAAGCTCACAGCACTGTATTTAAAGCCCAGCAGACAGAGCCCAGACCACAGACCAGCTCAGACGCCAGTCAGGGACCTGGGGTCCCCAGCTTGCAAGTCCCGTAACAGAAACACCACCCCAGACAATGTCCCTCAGAACTGCCAGTGCCCTGGAAAGTCACGGTGGCAGCCAAGGCCAGGGTCTGACAGAGCCAACACCTCCAGAAGGATCAAGCCAGGGCTGGCTTCACCCTCCATTCCCACCCAGCCACAGCAGAGCTTGGATCGAGAGCAGCAGTTGACCAGGGCACTCTGTGCCTGTGGGTGGGAGATGCTGGGGGAACAGGGCTCGGTGCAGCAGCAGGCGGTGGCTAAAAGCCCCAGGCCCATGTGAGCCATCTGCAAGACTGATGACTTCCTGCCGGCCCCGCGCTTGCGCTCCTTCCTGTCACAGGGCTGGCCAGCTACAGCCTTAGTGTTTGCTCTCGCTCGGCTCCTCTGCCAAGAGCAGAGTTGACCGTGTTGCTGCTGCTCTGCGCAGCTGCTGGGCCGTGCTCAGCCACGGGGTCCAGCAGCACAATCCCGACAGCCACACAATCCAACCAGTGTCTTAATCCTGGGTTTCCTGTGGGAGGAACAGCCCCATCCTCCCCCCACGCGCTTCCGCTCCTTGTTTGCCTTACTCCATCCCAAAGAGCCCACAAAAAGCTCAAGTCCTGCAAACGATGCTTCACTGGTACCAAGGTCATTGCAGAGCCTTTCCAACCTCCCCTCCACCCATGACGGATTTTGTCCAGCTTGTGCTGCAACATCCTGGTGCTCATTTACCTCCAGTTCTTGATTCCCAAACCAACTCTTACTTGAGTAATTAGTATCTCAAACCCAGTTTATGTAGAGTTGCATCCGCTTCCTTAAAGGAGCTATTTTTAAGTGGAGAAATATCCATCGGGAAAGCCACTGAAATCCAGCTTCCACCAGGAAGGTTTCAATTTGCAGGCCCAATTTAAATTAAGACAGCGTCTTGCAGGGGCTTTGTACAAGGGCAGCCCCAAGCTCTGGGATGATCTGTGCCTTGTGCCCAAGCCCGAGGGCTTGCTGGGAGAGGGCAGCAGTGGCCCAGGACTCCCTGGGCTTGTTTGCTTCCCACAGCAGACCGTCACACCTGGCGCTTCAAACTTGAGCTGCAGCCAGCTCCTTGGCTTGCTGGAAAGCCGTCAGCACAGAGCAAGGTCAGAGCTCCCTGTGCCATCAGGGAAGCAGCTGAGGGAGAGGACAAACCCTGCAGATGGGAGGGGGAACACAAACATGTTGCAAGGCCAGGACACAAATCACCCCCGGGGCCAGTGTTGTACCAGAGCCTGGGTCGCCCACGTCCCAGGGGGCTCTGTTTTTCCTCTCCACACTAGGAATTCAGGCTGCAGGACAGCTGGCTCTGTTTCCAGGAGAGGCAGTTGCCGGGAACAGTGAGCATGACTGCCCTGTGCTCCCTGGTGGCAGGAGCAGGCAGAGGGGTGCTCCCTTCCCATGCCTCCACACGAGCACTGAGGGACCACGGAAGGGCTGTGTTATCCTTGGCCTCTGCTCACATATCCTGCATGGTGGGACATGGTGCACAGGCAGGAAAACCTATTCACTGGAGATGGAGGGTGATGAGCTTCAACATTTTCAAGGTTATATATAAATGAGCATACAAGCATCAGGGAAATGTTTTTGCCTGGAACAGCAGTTAGTGAGGGAAGCTTGTGGCAGAAGAAACTCATATACAGTGGAAAATCCATCCTGCAGCAGCTTAATGACGAGCTCATTAGATCCCCTTTGTCCCTGGCATCCAGCACAGACCCCTTACTTTAAACCCAGCATAGATGGAGCTCCCTGCTTTGCCCCAGATGCCTCATGGCATGTTGCTGTTGGAGTAATGTAGGCACAGCCCTAGCATGCTGTCCTCCATCCACCAGGTGTATTCAGGGCCATGTGCTCCTGGGATGGCAGCAAGTTTGTGACACACAGCTGGAGCTCTCCAGAGGTTTGTCCAAACTCTGTCCCTCTGAGTGGGAGGAGGGACCTGTCCTGCCGACACTGCAGCACTTGGGACAACAGAGGATGGCCAAAGGGCCCATCTCCACCCCAGGACCTCTCCAGCCTCTGCATCCAGCAGCCAAGTGGGCAGAGCAGGAGCTGGGATAACTCGGTCTCCTCCCCTTGGCTAAGAAGTCCCCTGCCAGAGCACAGCACACAAGCTTTGAGCTGCAGGGAGAAGGGCAGAGATTCCTGCCTGGCACAGCCACCCCCTTTTTCCATTTGGCAACTGTCACAGTACAGTGATGGAAAGAGGATGGAAACAAGGATGGAGACTGAATTCCTTCCTACACTTCTGCAGAGAATCCAGCAAAACTGTTTCCCTTCCTCTTCCCAAAGGATGGGAATGAGCAAGAGGGCAAACATCTCATGACTTGCTCTGCCCTTGCCTCAGTCCCTGTTCCAAGGGGCTTTGGTAGCCCTGGCTGTGCCAGGGGCTTCCTCCTGGGAGCCTGCAGCTGGCAGAGGGAGGGTTTGTTTGCCGTCTCCAGGCTTGGGCTGATGCCTGCTGGCCGCAAACAGCTTGGGCAACAGGTTTGTCTTTCCTAGAAGCTGGCATCTATGCCAAGCTAAACCACACAGTGGGAACAAGGAGAGAGACGTGGCATGACAAGAGGAGGAAAAAGCCAGGAATAAAAGCTAAAAGGAGAGATATCTTCAGTGTGGATCCCCTGCAAGAAGGCAGTCCTTCTCCAGAGCTGACCAAGATCCAAGCCTCCAGTTCATCAACCCACAGCTTGTGCCCCTGTGGCCTGGCAGCTCCCACCCCTGATTAGCATGCAGACCCTAGAGCCAAGCTCAGAGTTTCCAGGCAAAACAAAGCACCAAAGAAAGGTCCAAACCTCCCAAGGGCCAAGTCACAGAGCTGATCTGCTCAGATTAGTTGTTCTAGTTACTGTAAATGAGGTCACCAGGAATTGTGAAAGGAAACCAGTTTACCATGAAGGTGATGTGATTGCTACTGGTTGACCACCATTTGCAGACTTTCCTCAAGTTGCGTCCTTGCTTCCAAAATCTGCTCATCGAGTACCAGTTTCTGTTCCTCCTCCTACACATCAGCTACTACTGACAAAAACCAAATAAGAGCTACGCAGATGCTGCAATACAGGAAAGGTAACTAAGTGTGCAAAACAGGAGACGCAAACACTGAGAACGTTTGTGTTTGCTCCTGGAAGATCACATTTGCTAATGAGATCAGCACTTACTAGCTGAGTGCATCCTCCCTTACTCAAAGTCTTGGCAGCAAGGCAGGCTACACACAGAAATAAACTACTAGAGCTAGCAAGGAAGAGCCTTTCCACCCAGACCTGACCAGGACGGACATTCCACACCAGATCTTTCCCCTTGGAGCATCTGCTCAGACACTGTACCATGCCCCAATCCAGTCCCACGATCCTCTCTCCAAGGCTGTTCAGTGCAGACCACCTGCACTTCCCCAAGTGTGAGCCTGGCCGAGTAAGAGCAGGATGCTGCCAGAGCTGCCCTTGCCATGCTGCTGCTAATCACTCAGGGCCACGTGACACAGGGTGCAGGAAAATTCCCTTGACTGCCTTGAGCAGCCAGGATTGCCAAAATGAATCACACATCTACAGCATGTTTAACTCGCACACTTCCTGGGCACCGAGGGGAAAAGAAAAGTGGTTAAAAAGGTTATGAAATTCGCCAGAGTCTTCTCTTTTCATATCATGATTGATGCTGTCCCCAAAACCAGGTCCAAAAGGAACTTCCCACCACAGGCAAGAAAGCAGGTTTGTTCAGAGCACACGAGGTATCACGGACACAGAAACAAATCAGACTTTGGGCACTGAATTCTCAGCCATGAGCAAAGCAGGGTCTGCCAGGCTGCTTGTCCTCCAGGAGCTGCAGCTATCCCTGGTTCCAGCAGCTCCAAGCACGTATCAGATGTGCCTCCAAATCCTGAGATGGCAGACACCGGGAGACAGAGGAACCATCCCTCCACGTCTCCCCAGTGGAGGGACTTCTGCCCTCAGCAGGCTCCATGGCTGCTGCTGGTGGGAGGGCAGCAGCAGGGCAGGCAGGGAAGAGCTGCACAGTTCTTACCTCTTATCTGAAGTGCTGCTCCATGACCTTCAGCATCTGGTCTAGTCCCATACCTCCATTTCCTTCATCATCAGAAAAACCTCAACCAACACCCCCCATGAAAAAACAAACCCAGGACTTTTACAGTGCTTCCTTCCTGATCCTTCCCTTGCTGCATTAGCTCACGGCATGTTTTGGAAGTGCAGAGCAATGGATCAGTGCCAAGTGTCATTGTTCATCCTGTATTGCAGATTCTGACACCTGTTTGCAGTCAGGCCTGCCCAGGTCAGCACCCTGCAGAGCTCGTGACCATCTTCTCCCGTTGTACATTCCTGTATGAGGCACTTCCAGGATGACTTTCAGCAAATAAACCACTGTGTCTCATTCTGGTGACTGCTGACCAGTATTTGTGATTTGCTGTCAACTCAGGACAGCCCAGAGCACTCAGAGCCAGGAGGGGCATATGGGTCTGACCCGCCGGAATGAGGACTGCAGCCAGGAAACAAGCAGGTTCTGGAAAGGTGACACCACTGGGGCCTCTCAGCGCTGGAAACAGCACATGTGCTGCTATTTGAGAAGATCATTAGGTCTGGCAAGGAGAGAAGATCACCCCTCGTACTCCAGGGCACAGCGAAGGTGGCTGTGAAGCCACAGCAATGCTTGGGATCACACTGCAAACGCAGCCAGAGAAGATGTCTGGGATATGTTCCCCTTTCCTTTACCATCCTGAAGGTGAGGAGGCTGGGGACTCAGAACTCACAGAACCACCATAAGATGATGCTT